TGACACAGGGAGAACATGTCAGAGCACCTGGAGGAAACCCACGCTGACACAGGGAGAACATGTCAGAGCACCTGGAGGAAACCCACGCTGACACAGGGAGAACATGTCAGAGCACCTGGAGGAAACCCACGCTGACACAGGGAGAACATGTCAGAGCACCTGGAGGAAACCCACGCTGACACAGGGAGAACATGTCAGAGCACCTGGAGGAAACCCACGCTGACACAGGGAGAACATGTCAGAGCACCTGGAGGAAACCCACGCTGACACAGGGAGAACATGTCAGAGCACCTGGAGGAAACCCACGCTGACACAGGGAGAACATGTCAGAGCACCTGGAGGAAACCCACGCTGACACAGGGAGAACATGTCAGAGCACCTGGAGGAAACCCACGCTGACACAGGGAGAACATGTCAGAGCACCTGGAGGAAACCCACGCTGACACAGGGAGAACATGTCAGAGCACCTGGAGGAAACCCACGCTGACACAGGGAGAACATGTCAGAGCACCTGGAGGAAACCCACGCTGACACAGGGAGAACATGTCAGAGCACCTGGAGGAAACCCACGCTGACACAGGGAGAACATGTCAGAGCACCTGGAGGAAACCCACGCTGACACAGGGAGAACATGTCAGAGCACCTGGAGGAAACCCACGCTGACACAGGGAGAACATGTCAGAGCACCTGGAGGAAACCCACGCTGACACAGGGAGAACATGTCAGAGCACCTGGAGGAAACCCACGCTGACACAGGGAGAACATGTCAGAGCACCTGGAGGAAACCCACGCTGACACAGGGAGAACATGTCAGAGCACCTGGAGGAAACCCACGCTGACACAGGGAGAACATGTCAGAGCACCTGGAGGAAACCCACGCTGACACAGGGAGAACATGTCAGAGCACCTGGAGGAAACCCACGCTGACACAGGGAGAACATGTCAGAGCACCTGGAGGAAACCCACGCTGACACAGGGAGAACATGTCAGAGCACCTGGAGGAAACCCACGCTGACACAGGGAGAACATGTCAGAGCACCTGGAGGAAACCCACGCTGACACAGGGAGAACATGTCAGAGCACCTGGAGGAAACCCACGCTGACACAGGGAGAACATGTCAGAGCACCTGGAGGAAACCCACGCTGACACAGGGAGAACATGTCAGAGCACCTGGAGGAAACCCACGCTGACACAGGGAGAACATGTCAGAGCACCTGGAGGAAACCCACGCTGACACAGGGAGAACATGTCAGAGCACCTGGAGGAAACCCACGCTGACACAGGGAGAACATGTCAGAGCACCTGGAGGAAACCCACGCTGACACAGGGAGAACATGTCAGAGCACCTGGAGGAAACCCACGCTGACACAGGGAGAACATGTCAGAGCACCTGGAGGAAACCCACGCTGACACAGGGAGAACATGTCAGAGCACCTGGAGGAAACCCACGCTGACACAGGGAGAACATGTCAGAGCACCTGGAGGAAACCCACGCTGACACAGGGAGAACATGTCAGAGCACCTGGAGGAAACCCACGCTGACACAGGGAGAACATGTCAGAGCACCTGGAGGAAACCCACGCTGACACAGGGAGAACATGTCAGAGCACCTGGAGGAAACCCACGCTGACACAGGGAGAACATGTCAGAGCACCTGGAGGAAACCCACGCTGACACAGGGAGAACATGTCAGAGCACCTGGAGGAAACCCACGCTGACACAGGGAGAACATGTCAGAGCACCTGGAGGAAACCCACGCTGACACAGGGAGAACATGTCAGAGCACCTGGAGGAAACCCACGCTGACACAGGGAGAACATGTCAGAGCACCTGGAGGAAACCCACGCTGACACAGGGAGAACATGTCAGAGCACCTGGAGGAAACCCACGCTGACACAGGGAGAACATGTGGGAGCACCTGGAGGAAACCCACGCTGACACAGGGAGAACATGTCAGAGCACCCGGAGGAAACCCACGCTGACATGGGGAGAACATGTCATAGTACCTGGAGAAAACCCACGCTGACACAGAGAGAACATGTGGGAACACCTGGAGGAAACCCATGCTGACACAGGGAGAACATGTGGGAGCACCTGGAGGAAACCCACGCTGAGACAGGGAGAACATGTCGGAACACCCAGACTCCGTCAGTTGAAACTCCACTGTGTTGTGTTTATGGTGATGGTGTTATATTTTTATGTGTTTATGGTGTATGCTTCCTGTTTCCACCCCAAGTGGTCTGAGTAGGCCCCGCCCCCTACAGCACCACGTGACGTTGTCTCTGTGTTTCAGGTGGAGGGTGAGGACAGTCTGAAGAAGATGCAGCTGATGGAGTTAGCCATCCTGAACGGGACGTACAGAGATGCCAACATCAAACCTTGTAAGATACCAACCAATCAGATGCCTCCTCCTCCTCTTTTCCTCCCCTCCTCTCCTGCTCCTGCTCTTCCTCCTCGTCCTCCTCTCCTCTTCCTCCTCCTTTCCTCTCCACCTCCTCCTCCTTTCTCTCCACCTCTCCTCCTCCTCCTCCTTTCCTCTCCTGCGCCTCTCCTCCTTTTCTCTCCTCCTCCTCTTCTTCCTCCTCCTCTCTTCCTTCTCCTTTCCTCTCCTCCTCCTCCTCTCCTCATCCTCCCCCTTTCCTCTCCTCCTCCTTCTCTCCTCCTCCTTTCCTCTCCCCCTCTTCCTTTCATCTCCTCCTTTCCTTTCCCCCTCCTTTCCTGTCTCTCCTCCTTCATCTGTCCTCTCCTCTCCTCTCATCAGGTAAGCTTTTTTCAGTTCTTTTGCTGAGTGTTCTGACGAGTGTTTAGTGGTTTTGTCCGGTGGTTTTTCGGGAGGAATGGCGTCCACCGAGACAGCAGGGAGTGAGGATAGTCCTGCCGGATAGTAGCGTTACTGTGGAGGAAGTTTTGTTGGCTGCAGGTGAGCAGGTAGGTCACGACAAACTATGTTTTGCATCGAGGATGAATAAAGCAGTGGTTGTGTTCCTTAAAGACGAGCCTCTTGCTCATCAGCTGATACAGAGTGGAGTATTTGTCAGAGATTTGTTTGTGCAGGTCTCCCCGCTGTCAGCTCCATCCACGCGGCTCACCGTGTCCGGTGTTTCGCCATTTATTTCTAATAAGCTGTTGGAGATTGAACTCCAGAGGTCTGGTAAATTTGCCAGCGGGTTTAAAACTGTGAGTTTGGGATGTAGGAATGCTAAACTGTGGTTGCCGGAGCCCCTTCGGTGCTGAGCTATGGCACCGGGGGAGAGCCAGCCCGACAGGCCACAGGTCTCTGTGGCTGCAGACAGCCTCAGCAACTCTCTGTGTGCGGGCTCTGAGGCACCAGTAAAATATGTGGAGGAAGCAGCCTCTGTAAGTGCTGCAGATAGAAAACGCAACAAGATGACTACTGAAGGACAGAGTGTGTTCAGTAGCCAGGTATCAGTGGAAGTAGATGACATGTATTGTGACTGAGTCAGACACAGTATCTATTGGTGAAACACCCTCAAAGAGCACAGATCTCTATTCCTTAGAGGACATTAATCGCTTTTTGGATGAAACTGAAAAAGTTAGTGACTATTTCAATGACACTGATAGATTCATCAGATCTGTTGGTGTCCTGAAAAGGTTGGTTGGTTTCGACCTTTTGGACGAAAAGAAGCGCTTTCGCCTCACAGGGCACATTACAACTTTGAGGAAAGCAACAAAAGGTAAAACTGTTAGAAGGACCAGAAAGTAAAAATGATCATGTATCACACGGTGCTCTCCTCTTCTCATTGTTCTCTACTTGTTTTTTCTGTTCTTTTCCTCTCTTCTGACCTCTTTATGCGTAGTCTTAAAATAGGGTCTCTCAACATTATTGGGGGGAGAGACAGGCACAAGAGGGCTTTAGTCTCAGAAATCTCTACATTAAAAAATACTCATGTGTTTTTTTTTGCAAGAGACACTCCAATCCAGCAGACGAAACAGACTGGGGCTTATGGTGGGAGGGTCCATGCATCCTTAGCCATGGCACTAACTTTAGTGCAGGAGTAGCTGTCCTTTTCAAAACAACAGCAAATGCCAATATTTTATCCTCTGTAGAAGTGGTGAATGGGTGCCTGCTTATTGTAAGGGCAGAATAGATAGTACAGTGTTTTGTTTTGTTAATGTATATGCCCCAAATCAAGGTACAGATAGAGTCGTTTTTCACTCTGTTAAAAAATGAGCTGAGAAATTACCAGCAGGATCAGCTCATTATTGGTGAAGATTTTAACTGTACCACAGATTTCACAGTAGACAGCACAAGTGAGGAACCCCACCCTCAGTCAGCTCAGAGCCTTCATAACATCATCACACACCTTGATCTGTTAGATCCTAACACTTGGAGGGTCAAACATCCACAGTCCAGACAGTACACATGGGTGAGGGTCAGCAACAACAGGGTTAGTGCTGCCAGGTTAGACAGGATTTACATTTCTCAAAGCCTCAGCTCCAGACTCATTCACAGTAACATATACCCAGTTGGTTTTACTGACCGCCATTTTGTTAGTGCTGACTTGAATGTCTCGCCAAGTGACAGGGTTAAGTCTTACTGGTCCTTCAATAACAAACTCCTGCTAGACAGTACTTTTTGCAAGAGTTTCAAGTGTTTTTGGCAATATTGGAAAATCCAGAAAGCCAACTTTAGTTCTTTGCATCTATGGTAGGAGGTGGGTAAAGCACAGATCTGTGTCTTTTGCCAACAGTACACCTCTAATTTTACTGCTAGGATCAGGGTGGCACTTCAGGAGCTTGAAACAAGCATAAATAGCATTGAGGAGAGATTACATGAAGACTTGGACCTTACTATAGGTCACCAGCTTCAGGAGAAGAAGTTGGCTTTGGGTGCCTTCTTGCAGGAGAGGGTAAAAGGAGCTCATGTAAGGTCTCGCTTCCTTCAGTTAAAGGATATGGATGCCCCAACCTCCTTCTTTTTCAACTTGGAGAGGTCGGTGGCACAAAGGAAGCAGATGACCTGCCTTGAGCTGCCAGGAGGCAGAGTCACCACTAATCCAGGTGAAATGAGGACCCATGCAATGAACTTCTATGTGGACCTTTTTGGGGCAGAACCATGTATCATGGAGTGCCGTGAGGAGCTCCTGGAGGTGCTCCCACAGCTCAGTCAGGAAGAGAAAGCTGCGCTAGATTGTGAACTGACACTGGAGGAGTTGACAGTTGCTATCAAACAGATGATATCAAGTCGGGCACCAGAACAGGATCTCTTCCTGTATCCTGTCAGCGTGCAGTGTTTTCTCTGCTGCCAAAGAAGGCAGATTTGGCCCTACTTAAGAACTGGAGGCCAATGGCCCTCCTCTGTACAGACTATAAAGTGCTGTCCAGAGCCTTATGACACTCTGGGTATGATCATATATCACGATCAAACTTATTGTGTTCCTGATAGGTCAATCATGGACAACATTTTTCTCATTCGTGATGTAATTGATGTGTGTAAATATTATAATGTCAGTTTTGGTATTGTTTCTTTGGATCAAGAGAAAGCTTTTGATAGGATGGATCACTCTTATTTGTTTTCTGCACTCAAAGCATTTGGCATTGGTGATGGGTTTCTGGCTTGGGTTAGCTTACTGTATAAAGATGCTCACTGTTTGGTGAAGATGGGGGCAGGGCTGAGTCGGCCAATCCCTGTAAAGCAAGGGATAAGGCAGGGTTGTCCCATTTCTGGATAGCTGTACAGCTTAGCCATTGAATCCTTGCTGTGCAGACTGAGGGGTCGACTCAGTGGTCTCCCACTGGCTGGGTCTTGTAAGCTTGGTCGAGTTTTTCCTACTGTTTCGGCTTACGCAGATGATGTAAATATTTTTGTTTCTAGCCAGAGGGACCTCCAAAGCTTGAAAGACACCCTTTCCCTATATGAAAAGGCGTCATCTGCACGGGTGAATTGGGCCAAAAGTGAAGCCTTGTGGGTAGGACAGCGAAGGGATCAGGTGATGCCAAGTCTGCCTGGAGGACTTGAGTGGCGGACAGAGGGACTGAAGGTGTTGGGGGTTGTTTTGGGCACTGAGGGCTTCCAGAAAAAAACTGGGAGGGAGTGAAGGAGAAAGTGTGTGCTCAGTTGTCTAAATGGAAATGGTTGCTACCCCAGTTGTCATATAGGGGAAGAGTTCTGGTTGCCAATAACTTGGTTGCCTCGGCCCTTTGGCACAAGTTCAACGTTTTAACACCACCAAAAAGCCTGATAGAGGACATTCAGAGAGCCATAGTTGACTTTTTCTGGTCCGGTAAACACTGGACTGGGCATCTGCCCTCTACCTACCTGTGGCTGAAGGGGGACAGGGATCATCAACATCCAGTCGAAGATTGCCTCCTTCAGACTCACTACTGCACAGAAACTGTTAAATGACTGCGTCCCAAGCTGGTATGACATGGCTCAACTGCTGCTGAGGAGAGCTGGGCGGTTGGGCTATGATAAACAGCTTTTTCTTCTTCAACCTGAAGAAATTGACCTCAGTGGATTAACACCATTCTACAGCTCTGTACTGCAGGCTTGGCAGATGTTCACAGTCACACATGATACCAGTGAGACTCCTGGCCTGTGGTTGTTTGAGGAACCTTTGTTCTTCAACAGTTTCATACAAACCCAAACGCTGCAGTCTGCCAGCCTGCGAGACGACCTCAGACGAGCTGGTTGTACCAAACTGGGACATCTGAAGAAGATGACGGCAACATCTGTTGATGCTTTGAGAGACAACAGCAACATCACCTCTATCAGGCTGATCAACAGAGTAGTGAAGCAAGTCTGTGCTGCACTGCCTCAACATCTTGGCCCAAAATACTGTGCCAAGAAAAAGCCTGTCCACACACTGTTGAACTTTTTGTCTGGCTCTGCAAAGTTAGCCATCTGGCTGACACGCAGAAACCAGGCTCAGAGTGTGGGCAGTGTTGAGCCGGTACTGGTTCTGAAGGGACTGCTGAAGGCCCGACTGAGGGTGGAGTACGTATACTACCGAATGATGGACGATGTGCAGACCTTCACCCGTACATGGGCTGTTGGGGGGGTCTTATACTCTGTGGGGGAGTATGGGGAGTTAAATATTACTGTCTGAATCACTCTTGGTGTTGATGATGTTGTTTTTTGTTTGTTGTTTCTATGAAGCAAACGCAATAGGTTTTTTGTTGTTCCCTGAAGTGGGTTAATAAAGGGACGTTTCAAACCTCCTCCTCCTTCCCTCTCCTCCTCCCCTCCTCCTCTTCCTCCTCATCTCCTTCTCCTTTCCTCTTCTCCTCCTCTCCTCCTTTCCTCTCCTCTTCCTCATCTCCTCCTCCTTTCCTCTTCCTCATCTCCTCCTCCTTTCCTCTTCTCTTCCTCTCCTCCTCCTCTCTTCTTCCTTTCCTTTTCTCCTCCTCCTCCTCCTTTCCTCTCCTCCTCCTCCTCTCCTCATCCTTTCCTCTTCTCCTCCTCTCCTCCTCCTTTCCACTTCTCCTCCTCTTTTCCTCTCCTCCTCCTCCTGCTCTTCCTCCTCTCCTCTCCTCCCCTGCCTCTCCTCTTCCTCCTCATCCATCTCTCCTCTCCTCCTCCTCCTCCTCTCCTTCTCCTTTCCTCTCCTCCTCCTCAGCCTCCTTTCCTTCTCTCTTTCAGCCTCTACTCAGACTCCTCGTGTCCTCTCTGGCCCCGCCCCTGTACTGGCTCCGCCCACTGTCCTGCGTACACCTGCCCCCGCAGGCCCCGCCCTGATGCCTCTGATTCGTCAGATCCAGACGGTGCTGCCCAATGGGACGCCTCACCCAGCAGCTCTGATGCAGGGGACGGGGCCTGAGTCCAGTCTGATCTATGCGGCGCCGTACGACTACCCGTATGCTCTGGCGGCGCCGGCCTCCATCTTGGAATACCCCCTGGACTCTGGAGGGGTGTTGGGTAAGCCCGCCCCCCCCTGCTCCTGCGACTGCTCCCCCACGCCTCACCACCACCCCCACAGCCAGTGGTGCCCAGCCCCCACGCTGCTCCTCAGACACACCTCCTAAAGATGGAGAACAGGCGCCACACACGCCACACCTCGTTCACAGTTGACGCCTGCGGCAGCATCCCCTGCTGGACGCACATTGTTCAAACAGGAAGTGATGATCAGTAGGGAGAACATTTAAACGTTTGTATAACATGTTTTCTATCTAACATAGTTAACACTCACCAGACGCTCCGACAGAACCTGAAGCGCTGAAGAGGTCTGACTGTTGACCAATCAGGACGTCGCTGAACATGTGCGCTGTTCCTCCATCACAACCTTCTGTATTCACCTGTCAGGTGATGTCAGCTGTGGGCGAGGCGTTCAGTTACCACTGTGTTCACTCTGCTTTTAGTGATGTGCCTCAGAACTTCCTGTTCCTCAGAGACCCTCACAGGAAGTGATGTCAGAAACAACGTTCTCCATGTCATGTGACCACAGCTGGTAGTGTTGGTGTTGTGACGGAGGTTTTCAGATCGGTGTAACTACTCAGTGTGAGAAACACGAGACAATCTGAGAACGTTTAGTCGAGTTTTTAACTGAGATTAATTTTAATTAACAATAAAACAAATTAATTAACAAACAAACAAACAAACTCTTCTCGTAGTAAAAACTGAGTTTAATTTTAGATCATTAAAGCTTTTGAATTTAAATCAAACAGAACTAATAATTGTCTGATTGGTCGGTGCGTTCAGAGACACAGTTCAGATGAAAGTCTGAATATTTGGTGAAAATGTTTTAATATCTTAAAAAAATATTGTCTTCGTATTTTCACAGAAAGTCGAACAACTTAAGAAAAAAATGTTTTAACGTAACGAGACGAGTTTATTCTCACGTCATTACACCTCATTTATTTCAGTGTTACGACTTTATTATTTAAATGTATCTGTGGCCTGTGGTAGACAGTGATAACCAATCAAACTGATGCACCTGAAAGGGGTGTGTCCTCATGATGATGTCACAGTACAGACTGGTCACCTGTCAACCTCTCAGGTCTCACCTGTAACATAATGTTTAACTAAACGTGCCTTAACGTGTTTCTACTAATCCTCTGTGATGATGCGTTCACTGACCTGTACCTGTGATGGTGCGTTCACTGACCCGTACCTGTGATGGTGCGTTCACTGACCTGTACCTGTGATGGTGCGTTCACTGACCCGTATCTGTGATGGTGCGTTCACTGACCCGTACCTGTGATGGTGCGTTCACTGACTTGTACCTGTGATGATGTATTCAGTGATCTGTACCTGTGATGGTGCGTTCACTAACCCATACCTGTGATGGTGCGTTTACTGACCCACACCTGTGATGGTTCGCTCACTTACCCCACCTGTGATGGACACTGTGGACAGGGACTCCACGTCCTCCATGACAGTCTGGGGCAGGTGTGGTGGTCTCTAAAGTCCTCATCAAAGGACGGTTACCGCAGACCAACGTTAGTCTGCACAAACTCCGTTCCCTTCTCTCCACACCTGCCTTTCCCACAACCCACCGCTCTGCCTCAGCTGCTGTCTGTTCAGGGTGTTTTCACACCAACAACCAAGATAGTCCACCAGACTCCAGCTTTCACATCAAAATGTAAATTTACCGTTATCTAATGTGTAGCGTTTTTAAGACCATACGAAGACCACTCACTATCTGATGTGAGCCAGCTATTTGAATTGCCACCTACTTAAAACATGGGCGTACCGATCTCTAATTGAGCTGAGGTCATGCTAACGGTAGCTAACTGTGAACCCTTCAGGACAGTGAGGATATTTGAACCTGGACTTCCTGCTCCGTTATTTTGAGGACTGTTGTTTTGTTGATTCTGACTAACGGACTAGAAAAGTTAAATAAATGTACGTTGAGCTGTAAGAAGACGACACTTTATTTACAATTCAAGTATTAGAAATTCATTTTAATAAATCCTGTTTAGGCTCCACCTCCTCCAGAGTTACACATTTCAAATCAGCCTCATCTCTGTGTCTTCAGTGCAACCAGGACATGGTTAGCCTAGCTTAGCACAAAGACTGGAAGCAGGGGGAAACTGTTAGCTTCAATGCTAAATGCTGAAAAATTTCTTCACCTTCAATAAATAATAATAAACAACAATGCTCACGCCGACCCAGAAACACCAAACAACATGTCGGAGGGTGGAGCTTAGCTAACAGTTTCCCTGATTCATGAGATGAAACGTAGGACTCTTTCGGAGATGAGTACACGAAGATTTTATCAGATGTTTTAAAGTTCTCAGATGTTAACGTGACATTAGCTAACATCATTCGTCCTGAAGAAATGATTCACATACAGAAAATCTGTCGGACTTCCTACCATGAATGAACTTATTTTTTCATTTTGAATCAGATTTTCAAAGTGGTCGGTTCCGGTCGGTTCCGGTCGGTTCCCTGTGAGTCGGACTGACGGACTGGAGACCAGGAAAAACAGGACGACTGAGATCAGTCGAGGTTGAATGAGGACGTTCATGTTTCTGCTGATGATCAGAGTCCAACATTTACATCTCAAATAACCTCGTACAAACGTTTTGAACGCAGCTAAACTGTGTGTCTCTGATGATGTCACATTGCCTGACCAATCAGAATATTTGATGTAAAAGTTTCATGTTTTGTTTAAAAAGTCGGAACATTTTGAGGTTAATGTAAAAACACGATGAGAAAAACATCATAACTTCTTCTGAGAATGATCTGCACCAATCAGATTATGACATGTATCATCCAATAGAATCCCAGCGTCAGTGTGATGTCACTGACCATCAACAGAAACATTTATTTCCTCTCTGACGTCCTGTGAAGAACCAGAAGAACCCTCAAGTGTGATGTCGTAGGACTGAAGGTCACCACGACCTGGATGACCGAGAATCGTCATGACGATGTCTCATCGTCATGACGATTCTTATTGTCCAGATCATCATGACGACCTGGACGATGAGACATTTGTTACTAAAAGGATCAAACTGGAAACTTTATTGATCACAAACACAGTAACAGTAACACTGACTAAATGAATGACATAAATCTGATGACGTTGCACAAAGTCCTGATGTCAACCCGCCACCGACTCATCCGACTCAGCCGTCACATTAACACAACAACTCGACACACTCAAACCCTCCACCAATAAAAACTCGTATAAACCAGATTTATTTACGTCTCATCGGTGACTGTGTCGGGTCGGACCCCGGCTGTCTGCGGCGGGCTGCATTCAGGTGTTACTGGCTGTGATGGAGGTGAACAGGTGGACGATGGGCAGCTTCATCAGCTCGGTGTGGCGTTCAGGGACACTGAACATGATTAACATGATGTCACATGAAGACAGAGTCATTGTAAATGTTTTACAAGGTTTATAGACAAACACGGTCGAACCTCGAAACGTCTCCATGTTTGTGTTTTACATTTAACAGCTCTGAGGGGAAATGGTCATATTGTTTATTTTTGTACATCGAGAAGTTCATCGGAGATGAAACTATTAAAATCCAGAAAGTGTGATGTCACCAAATGCTGATGATGAACTCCGTTATTTCAGAAAAAATGATGAACCTCTGAACCAGAAACTGTTCAATAACACCGATGCTGTGGAGATACAAGGTTTTTTTTACTAAGCTATTACAAAAGTCTGTGTTTGTCATATGAGGTTTCCATCAGTCAGGTTCAGTTAGATTTAACCAGGTACCAGTTCAACCAATCACAGCTCAGCATTTAACCCTTTAAACATCTCCTGCAGGCGGATGAGGGGCGTTCATCACATCGTCATCTTCATCACGTTGTCATCTTCATCACATCGTCATCACATTGTCATCTTCATCACATCTTCATCACATCGTCATCTTCATCTCATCTTCATCACATCGTCATCACATTGTCATCTTCATCACATCTTCATCACATCGTCATCTTCATCTCGTCTTCATCACATCGTCATCACATTGTCATCTTCATGACATCTTCATCACATCATCATCACATTGTCATCTTCATCACATCTTCATCACATCGTCATCTTCATCACATCTTCATCACATTGTCATCTTCATCACATCTTCATCACATCATCATCTTCATCACATCATCACCGAATGTTACCGTAACGTGCAGACATGGTATTTCCTGTATTTATATGGATCTAAAATAAGAACCATAGAATGTTTATTCTTTGTGCAGCAGAGCTCCTGTTGTCACCGTAATGATGTCACTGTGTTTCTCATGTACGAGGTTAAACCACGTGAAACCACACAGTGGCGTCAGAGGAATGAAGATGAATCCGTTACAGCGTCCTGTTGCTCTGCTCTATTAATATGTTTGAGTCTTAAAAACTAAAAAATCTGCAGTTTAAATAAGAAATATTTTGTTTGTATTCATTAATTTTTTGTTTATGTTTATTAAAAATATTTTACATAGAATTTTTTTGGGTTTTTTTTGTGTAAAAATTATTATTTTTTTAATTTTAAATACACAGTTTCAAAACTTTGATCAGTTATTCTGGTTCATTGTCTAAAATAATCTTTGAGCTCAGGTCGTTCAGATTTATTGATAAGAAGCGTGTGAAGATTCTCCAGGAAGTGACATCACAGGAAGCAAAAATACAGACGCAGGCACTAGTGGACCGTTTCAACTGCAGAGTTTAAAGGGTTAATCAGCAGAATATAAATATTAATTATAAAATCAAATAAAAGAATGATCTGAATTCAGACTGATGAAACACGACGACAATAAATCAGATTTAATATTTATGAAACTGTCAAACTGATGGAAAAAACAAACTTCACTTTTCTTCAGCTGAAAAACTTCACGTTTCAGTTTTTATTTAATCACCTGAACGTCACATCGACCCGAACTGATCAGAGTTATACAGCATGTGATCTTCAGCTCATAAACTCCTCCTCCTCCTCCTCCTCCTCCTCCTCCTGCTCTTCCTGCTCCTGCTCCTGCTCCTCCTCCTCCTCCTCTTGCTACTGCTCCTCCTCCATCAGAGCAGACATTTCAAACCTCAAATGAACCTCAAACATAATGTTTTGACCTTCAGGTGCTGACGGACGAGACGATGAAGAGTTTTCGAATGTGTTTTTATTGTGTTGTTGTTTTTGTTTGTTGCTCAGATTGTCAGTGTTTATGATGAAATATATATTAAATATGTGTTAAAGGTAAAAAAAACAGGGTAAGTGTGAGGTCGAAGGCTGTTTGTAGGAAGAAGACACATCTGACAGTTTTCTGTTAATATGAAACTTTGTCTGACGGAGCTTCTGTTTCCTGTTTCCTGTTAAAGAGAAAAGATTCTGTTTGAAATAAAAGTGTTGTTGAGTAAAACTGCTGAATCATTGTCTTCTTTATTAAACATTTGTTTTCAATTTCAACTCATAATCTTGTGGGGGGGATGTGGACGGGCGTGTGTACAATACATTGATTTTGTTTTTACAGCTTTTATTTATTACTGCTTATTTATTTATTTAGCTCTTGCTGTTGTTATGTCAAGTTGTTGTGTTGTCTTTTTTTACCACAAGGTAGTTGCACTTGACTTTTGTTGTACAGCTGTGCAATGACAATAAAGGCATTTGATTTGATTTGATTTGACATGTCCTCCAAACAGTCCCCACATGTTCTCCAGCTGTTCTACACATGTTCTCCAGCTGTTCTCCAGCTGTTCTACACATGGTCTCCACATGTTCTCCAGCTGTTCTCCAGCGGTTCTCCACATGTTCTCCAATTGCTCTTCACATGTTCTCCAGCTGTTCTCCACATGGTCTCCAGCTGTTCTACACATGGTCTCCACATGGTCTCCAGCTGTTCTACACATGGTCTCCACATGTTCTCCAGCTGTTCTACACATGGTCTCCACATGGTCTCCAGCTGTTCTACACATGGTCTCCAGCTGTTCTATACATGGTCTCCACATGTTCTCCAGCTGTTCTACACATGGTCTCCACATGTTCTCCAGCTGTTCTCCAGCGTTTCTCCACATGTTCTCCAGCTGTTCTCCACATGTTCTCCACATGTTCTCCAGCTGCTCTTCACATGTTCTCCAGCGTTTCTCCACATGTTCTCCAATTGCTCTTCACATGTTCTCCAGCTGTTCTCCACATGGTCTCCACATGTTCTCCAACTGTTCTACACATGGTCTCCACATGGTCTCCACATGGTCTCCAGCTGTTCTACACATGGTCTCCACATGGTCTCCAGCTGTTCTACACATGGTCTCCACATGGTCTCCAGCTGTTCTGTACATGGTCTCCACATGTTCTCCAGCGTTTCTCCACATGTTCTCCAGCTGCTCTTCACATGTTCTCCAGCTGTTCTCCACATGTTCCTCAGCTGCTCTTCACATGTTCTCCAGCTGCTCTCTACATGTTCCCCAGCTGTTCTCCACGTTTTCCAGCTGTTCTCCAGCTGTTCTCCAGCTGTTCTCCACATATTCTCCAGCCGATACCCAGCTGTTCTCCAGTTTTTCTCCACATATTCTCCAGCTACTTTTCACATGTTCTCCAGCTGTCCTCTAGCTGTTCTACACATGTTCTCCAGCTGCTCTCCAGCTGTTCTACACATGTCCTCCACATGTTCTCCAGCTGTTCCACACATGTTCTCCAGATATTCTCCAGCTACTCTCCACATGTTCTCCAGCTGTTCTACACATGGTCTCCACATGTTCTCCAGCTGTTCTCCAGCGTTTCTCCACATGTTCTCCAATTGCTCTTCACATGTTCTCCAGCTGTTCTCCACATGGTCTCCACATGGTCTCCACATGTTCTCCAACTGTTCTACACATGGTCTCCACATGGTCTCCAGCTGTTCTACACATGGTCTCCACATGTTCTCCAACTGTTCTCCACATGGTCTCCACATGGTCTCCAGCTGTTCTATACATGGGCTCCACATGTTCTCCAGCTGTTCTCCAGCTGCTCTTCACATGTTCTCCAGCTGTTCTCCACATGTTCCCCAGCTGCTCTTCACATGTTCTCCAGCTGCTCTTCACATGTTCTCCAGCTGCTCTCTACATGTTCCCCAGCTGTTCTCCACGTTTTCCAGCTGTTCTCCAGCTGTTCTCCGC